ACTGGAACTCCAGGATCATTTCCTTCTCCCGGGCTTCATTCTGCCGTTGCTGATCCTGTTTGATACGTTCACTCTCCGCACGCATCCAGCGCTGCTTTTCCAGCTCCAGCTCTTCTTCACGTTCCTTCATCGCCGCTTCCTTTTTCAACATTTCCATTTCCCGTTGCTGCGCTTCTTTCAGTTTTTTCTCCTGGCTGTTTTTGGTGTCTTCGAGGAAGCGAAGCTTGGTTTCAAAATCGCCGGCAATCTTTACAGACAGCTCTTCCTGCAATTGCTGTTCCCGTTGCTGTATGGCGGTGGCCAGTTTCTTTTTAATTTCCTCTTCCTGTTGTTTGCCGGCCAGTTCTACCTGTTCTCTTTGTTTTACAAGTAGTTCTTCGCGCTGCCGTATTTCTTCATCCTGCTTTTTCTTGAGGGAAAGCCACTTCTGGTTAAACTCTGCTTTATATTTATCCCCGATTGCCTGTTCCATGGCGGCTGACGGTTCAAACTGGTAGGTGCAATTGGGGCATGTTATGATGGTAGACATTCAATCTGTTCTTTATCGTAACAACAAATTTAGCACAGTGGTGCAAAACGCTTTGTACAACTTATTTTTGATTGCTTTTTTCATTTTATGATCATTCGTGCTGCATTGCTTTTATATTGCTTTCTGGTAATGGGCGCTGTTCATCTTTCAGCGCAGGTGCCGGCACGTGCACAAAATTTTCTGAATGAAGGGCTGCGCTACCAGACGAAGCGCCAACCGGCCAAAGCCGAAGCGGCTTTTAAAAATGCCATTAAAGCGCACCCGGCATTTACAGAAGCTTATAGTACACTGGGCCGTTGGTATTTCGACCGGCACCAATACCAGGCCGCCGCGGCCATTTTCCTCCAAGCCGAAAAAGCCTGTGCCAATGGCCCCACGATCTTTGCAAAGGCCATCGCCAAAAGTCTTGTTTACAGCGGCGACTTCCCGGCAGCCTTACAACGCATCCCCGCAAACAGCACAGATAAAGAGTGGCGACAGCTGCTTAGCCAGGCCCGTTTTATGCAAAGCGCTATCAACCGGAAGATAACGCAGGTGGTAACACCTTTTGATGTTTCTCAGCGCGTCAATACCAGGGACCCTGAAATGTTTCCGGCCATGTCGGCGGATGGCCAGACTTTCTTTTTTACGCGGCGCGTTAATAATATGGATGAAGATCTTTATTATGCCAAACGCGATAGCTGCGGCGGCTGGCTGGCTGCTAAAAATATGGGCATGCCGCCCAACTCTCCTGATCAGGAGTCGGCCCAGTCACTTTCGGCGGATGGACATTATTTGTTTATGATGCGCTGTGAAAACAGGAGTGTAAATGGTTGGGCACAAGGTGGCTGTGATTTGTATATGGCTTATACGGCCGATAGTGTGTGGAGCATTCCCCTGAGTTTTGGCGCTACCATCAATGGGTCCGGCTACGAGGGAATGCCCAGTCTTTCGGGCGATAACCGCGAGCTCTTTTTCGTGTCGGACAGGCCGGGTGGATATGGCGGGCTGGATATCTGGTCTTCCCGTTTTGAACATGGCCTCTGGCAAATGCCGCGCAACCTCGGCCCGGAGATCAATACCGGCAGCGATGAAACTGCACCCTTTATTTATGCCGATAACAGCACACTCTATTTTGCATCCAAGGGCCATGAAGGGATGGGTGGCAATGATATTTTTGTTTCCCGGAAGGTCAATGATTCTACCTGGGGAAAGCCGGTAAACCTGGGCTGGCCAATCAACTCGCAAGCTGATGAGATCAGCCTCAGCCTCGACGCTGCGGCCGATACTGCTTATTTCGCATCAGA